TAGTAAACTTTATTTTTTTATAAACTTAGTAATATATAGTTTCTCATGTATGTACAGAGGACATGGGTCATTCAATGGTCTACATCTTCTAGCTTCTCATCATAATTTCATTTTTCTGTGGGTGTTTTATATGATTCGTTTAAGTGCCGGTAGTACTTTGAGAGAGGTGTTTAGGTTAGAATATGTTTTATTTAGCTACAATAGGTTACTCCAAAATTTGTTTGAGAATGAAATGGAACTAATGTCTTTAATTTAATTACAAAATTAAATTCGAATCTTTTAGCTTCCATTTTTGAAACATGGTTAAAACTGTGTAGCAAAAAAAACATATTTTAAATCAATCAATTTATAATATTAATGCTCTGTAAATTTACATTGGGCACTATTTTGTAAAAATATCTATAAGAACACCGGATTATATATCTTACTGTTCTTTCTTTATAAATATATATATATATATACATATATATACATATAGAGAGAGATAGATATAGATAGGATGGATATAAGAATCAACACTGCATGGTGATAGTTTAATGCAATATTTAGACTAAGTTTGAAGATTGAATTGTAGGTGTGAAACTAACAGTCACCATGCAGTGTTGATCCCTATGTCCACACTGTTTCTATACATAACCTCTCACAATTTCCAATATTAAACATTCTTCCTTTATAAATACAGCAAATTTTAAAGGGAACTTTTATAATTGAACATTATTTTTTATTATTATAAATGTTATTTTTGGTGGGTACACATCTTTTAGTTGACATCCCTGTTTTTTTTTTTTTATCTAGACTGAGAAATTAGGAAGCACATTTTTTTTTAGTAGGACATCTTGATCTGGGCCAGCTGATATTAATTTCACTGTTTAAGAAAAAAAAAAAACTGATGTCAACTCAAACAAATGTACTCACTAAAAATAGCATTTATAGTAATAAAAATAACAAAGTTTAAATATATATATATATATATATATATAAACTATAGTTCAAAAGTTTGAAGCCACTGCCAAAATTAGCATGGGATGAGTGAAACCTTTCCAACCAACAAATGAAAAAAGCATTTTGAGTCACTGAAAAAAAGAATGGAATCAATTATCAAATTTATACTTTGAGAAACTTTTTCAAAAATTTGTGCTGCAGTAATCAAAGTGAAAGAGCAAAATTTAATCATAAAATACTTTTTTTTGTCATAATAAAATTTCTAATAAAAGAATAATGTCTCACTTTTCTAATGAAAAAATAATGTCTCACTTTTTAACCAGGTATAATGATTTTCTCTTAAAAAAAAAAACAACTACTTATGGGGCCAATTTAAATAATTACTAGGAGTGGCCTCAAACTTTTGAACTGTATTATATATATGGATGTGTGGTGGTGTCATGGATAGCAGGTTGAAATCAGAGAGCTGAGTTCTAATTCCAGTCAAATTCATTATATCCACTGATGCACAAATGCCCTTGGGAAGGTATGAATCCATCTACTCTCCCCTCAGCTATGGTTAAATAGCAGGACAAACTGAGCCCTATGGCTTTGGTTGGTAACCAGTCTAGGAGAAAGATAACTCTGAATTCAAAACCTGAAGTGAGTCATTTGGAGACCTTGTGGCACACTATATTCACCAGTTCTTTGTATTTGGTTGTTCCAAAAAGTGTGGTTGGTTTTACACAAGCCTTTACCACTATAAATATATATGTACATGTTCAATTGTAAGAAATAAGCTACTGGATCCTCATACATTGAAAATGATGGTAGAATCTTATATATATATGTGTGTGTGTGTGTGTTATATTGCACAATGAGCGCTGGTGTTAATAAAATAGTGCTTGATGTAATATAATAGCTATTTGAGTATATATTAATATGAATATGAACATGAACCACTCCACCACATGTGGTTATTCACATGTATCCATATCTATATATGTATATATATCCATAATGATTTACATATGTAGATTTGCCAAGATATTGATGAGTAATTCTATTATAATTTTTTTATAAATACTTAGATGTGAATATTTAGATTAAAATTCTACCTTTGTAATTTGAAGTAAGTAATTTGGGTGTGTGTGTTTCACTTATATTTATGTTTGCTAAATACAAAATACCAATTTTTTTAAAACAACAATCCTTGTATAAAATATAGACAGCCTCACCATTGCAATAGCCAGAAATATTTAACAAAATTTAAATTATGTAATGGTTAGCACTTGAGGAGTGCATTGTGCATGAAACTCCAAGTTGTGCTACTGGTGAGAAAAAAAATGTATATATAATAATGGACTCTCCTGTGGGTTTCAACGTATGAGGATCTGACAGCTTATTGATTCAGTTATGAAAGTTTGTGCGATAATCTTAAGTGGCATTTAAAACCCGCTAGTGATTTACAAAGAAGGCCACATATAGAGCAAGTGTGAGGATTGTGAGATGAGATCACTGTTAGATTGGCTGACCTTTTAGATCTTGCTCTCGCTTCTTGAAGATGATTCAGACAAGCAGATTGAAAATATATATATATAAATTATGTGAATCTATTTAAACTTAGTGGGTGAAAAAACCTGGATAGCACAATTTTCAAACAAATTGGCATCCAAGGAAAAAATTTTGGGAAAAAAAAAAAAAAGAACCAGAAACCTCCAAAGAGGGCAAAAGAAATTGTCCAGTACCTTAAATCTCTGGTACAAAGAAAAAAAAAACAGCAAGTAATAAGTTAAAATGAAGAGTGCTCAACACAATAAGTAAATGGTAAAATAAATAAATCCTAATGAGCCAGGTACTACCTACTTAGGTTTCATCCCATGAGATCATCACCCTGATAATCCCATGTGGTGAAACCTAGGTAGGTAGTACCTGGCTCATTAGGATTTATTTATTTTATATATATATATATACACACACACTGACACATGTTTCATTGAAGACAACTGACAAAGCACTGTAATTGAGCTTTTTATTATATTTTTCTTGCATTCATAAAATTTATTTTTTTTTAGATATAGTATATAAGAACTATCCAAATGATCTTTTGATTCAAGCACATTTGGATAATCTATTAGCAATTATCAAAAATGTTATTTTGCTTGTCTGAATATGTATTTTTTTTTATAGCAGTAGTAATGTTTTAATTTACGAACACAGTCAGCACATTATGGCTATGTTCCTAATTGATATTGTTGAACTTTAGTTTCTTTGTTTTTATTCTTACACACTCTATCTCTGTTGTATAAGAGTAAGTGCCGTTGCCGACACTGGTTTGAAACTAGATTGCCAGTAACACACACGATTCCATTATTAAGTAGATCACATGATCATAAAGGAAGTGAATAAACAGGAAGTAGCATGATGACTATACGATCACTCTTCTTGTCTATCCACTATTGCTGTACGTTCACTCTACCCTACTCTACTACTATATGGCTTATGATTCTCTTTTGATCATTATACTATTTGGTGATTACTACTTGAACCAGTATTACTAGTGTGGATATTATTGGAAGGCATTACTACCAGTACTGACGTTTACAAAGTCTCAAATATAACAAGCATTTTTGGAAGTGATAAGAAGCTTTCGTTTGACATAACAAAACTGGCAAGCGAAACAACCCACCATCACAAAAATCTCCAAAAAAGAAATCACTTCTATGAATGCAAGAAAAAAAAAAAAAAGAGGGATTGCTGTCCAAATACATAAAACTTTATTTTCTACCTAATAACAGACAATAATACAAACATGCCAAAAGATTCCATGATAGAACTCACATCATTTAAATCAAAGTGTCTATTGGTTAGAAATTAACATCATCATGTGAAATATATGACCAATCAGAGAAAACTAAAACCCTATTTTTCTCAAGCTTACTTTTGGAAAAAGTTTCTTATAAAAAAACCAAAGATTTTGACATTCAGAGAGCATCTCCCCCCCACCCCCCACACATGCATGGTGGAAGAAACATTTGTCAGTGACTTCAAATGAATCAGCTATAACAACAGCTTGGACAGCTAGTGAATCTTCATTGATGATTATGTGTCAGTATTTTCAAATAAATCATCTCCAACAACAACAATAAAGATGGACAGTGAATCTTCACTAACACAGCTTTTTTCTGTGAATCAATGATTTAAAAGTCTTTTCTAAGCCACAGCCTTTTCTGTGTATCAACTACCCAAAGACTTTAACTCAATGAAAAACTATTTTTATTTCTTTTTAACTCTCTATGAATTCATGTACATATGTTTGTAAATACAAATAATTTATTTAACAGGCATAAAAAATGTTTTCTTTATTTTTATTTTATTAGAATTTTATTGCAAATCAGTTATTATGATTATTAATATAAAAAATATGGATGACTGAATTTTCTACATATGTGTAAGGAAAATGCATTGGAATTTGAGGAAAAGGTAATGAAAATCTTTATAAGATGCTAAAGTTGATTGATTGATTTGCTTTTTGTGGCTTTTTTAAAGCTGAAACATATATATACACATATATGTGTGTGTGTGTGTGTGTGCATGTATGGTTACATACTGCATTTAATATATATATGCTATTTGATCCATTATCCTCATTTTTATTATTTTTGTCATATCTTTGGTATGTTGGTTCCTTTGTTTGGTGTTCAATTGTTTTCTTTTCTTTGAAAATTTCTGATATCAGCACAAACCTTTTACACTTGAATCTGTGGATGGCTTCAGCCAAGGATGTATGAAATAAACCCACCCACTCCAACCTCTACCCATGTAAAGGTTGATACTAGATTACTGGATGAAATTTGCACTTGAAGAAGACTTGGGCATCTTAAATATTTTCATAAAATCAAAAAGTATGTGGATATAAGTCTTAACTGGTTAACCATGATGCTTAAACTCTGTGTTTCAAATAACAATTATTCTCTATTTTTGTTAATTATGGATCTTCATGTTGGCATGTGTCCAAGATGAACAGATAATGTTCATCTATGCAGGTGACATCAATTGGCATTGCGACATTTTATGCCTCACTCAATGACCTTCACAAGGAAGAAAAAATGCGAAAAATATGGATGCTCAATGAATCCATTGATTTTAGGTGATGAATGTTCATCAAAAAGAAAGAAAGAATCTAGTAAAAAAAAAGACAAGAATATAAAGAGAAAGAAGTGGAGAATATAAGAAAAAGTAAGAAGGGGATTAACAAAGAAGAGAAAAAGGAAGAGAAGGACAAAAAAGGAAATAAGTGAATGAAGAAAGAAAGAAAAAGGAAAGAATATAGTAAAACATAGACGAGAGTATAAAGAGAAAGAAGTGGAGAATGTAAGAAAAAGTAAGAAGGGGATTAACAAAGAAGAGAAAAACAAGGAAGAGAAGGAAAGAAGAGGGAATAAATGAATGAAGAAAGAAAGAAAGAAAAAAGAAAGAATATAAGTAAAACATAGACAAGAGTATAATGAGAAATAAAGAAAGAAGTGGAGAATATAAGAAAAAGTAAGAAGGGGATTGACAAAGGAGGAAAAAGAAGGACAACGTCTATGAAAGTGTGATGCTAGAGCTGTGAAATCTTACATTCATTTCAACTCTTCCTATTAATAACTGCATTGTTTCTTTGCAGGTAAACTGACATTTGACTGTTCAAAGAAGACTTCAAAAGTAATTACTAGTGACTTCTCTTGAAAATGAACAAAATTTGGCATTATGATGTTATCAAGTACCTGCAGAAAAAGTGTCTAGCCTCCAAGGAAATTAATGCTGACATGGTTGCTACATCAGGGGATGACGCTCTACATTTATAAACAGTACAAAGTAGAAAGCTAAATTTAGGAGAGAAAAGAAAAAGTCTTGACGATGACCCAAGGTCTGAACATCCTGCAACTGCCACCACTAGGGGAAAATATTGATCGTGTTCACAACATAGGTGACAGGCGATTGACTATAAATCAAATAACCAATCCTATTAGCATATTCTGTGAAAGAGTTAAGAATATTCTGGACAATGAAACAAAGTTTTTTTCTCGGTGGGTGCCACATCTTCTGATGCCTGATCAAAAGCACATCAGGCTGAACACATCACAGAAAAATCTGACATTGAAGCAGGTCCATTTGGTTTCCTTAAATGTTTCCTAACCCAGGATTAGTGTTGGGTTCATCATTTTGAGCCAAAGACAATCCATGCAGTAGCCCCCCCCCACCTCCTCACCTGCTCCAAAAAAGATCAAGGTTATTTCATCTGCAGGAAAGGTGATAACCTCAGTTTTTTAGGATGTAAAAGTCGTTGTGCTTATTTACTATCTTCAAAAGGGCCACACCATCAATGGAGAGTACTATGCCAACTTGTTGAGGCAGTTACAAAAGGCTATTAAGACCAAATGTCCAAGAAAAATTAACAAAAGGGGTCTTGTTTCATCAGGGCTATGCTCCAGTACACAAGTCCTTGGTATCAATGGCTACTGTATGTGACTGGCTTTGAACTAGCTAATCACACTTCCTATTCTTCTGATTTTGCCCCATCTGACTATCATCTGTTCCACAAGATAAAAAAAAAAAACACTTGGTTAGTAACTAGTATCTCAGTGATGATGATGTCCTATCTGCTGTTGATAACTTTTTTGACCAATAGGATGAAAGCTTCTCCAATGGGTTCCAAGTACTGCAACACCAATGGAAGAAGTGTGTGGACCACAAGGAGGACTGTGTTGAAAAATATACTTCATTTGGTCATATTCCATGAGAGTATCTTAGTTAGCCTATGAACTTTTCAACTGACCTTCATAAATTTGATATTGTCCAGACTGGTATCACATTGAAGAAAGATAAATATTTAGGTGAAATAAACTATTCTCTTTTTATCAGCATGGAGCTTCTAAGTCTGACAAGGCTCAGATTAGTCCAAATGTTAAGTATATTGTAAGAATTAGGCGAGGCTCAAATCTTTTATCAGCATGAAGCTTCTAAGCCTCAAAAGGCTCAAAATAGTCCAAATGTTAAGTATATTTTAAGTGTCAAATGAAGCTCAAATTTTTCATCAGCTTGAAACTTCTAAGCCTGACAATGCTCATATTAGTCTAAAGTATATTTAACTATCAAGTGAAGCTCAAATTTTTTATCAGCATAAAGCTTCTACATCTTACAAGGCTTAGATTAGTCCAAACGTTATGTATATTTTAAACATCAAGTGGTGCTCAAATTTTTTATTAGTATGAAGCTTCTCAGCCTGACAAGGCTCCGATTAGTCTAAAAGAATTTCTCAATGAGAAATCTACGAGTTGGACATAGTTGATAATTTGAGCGGCCTGGATTTATCATCTATATCTCTGGTGAGGAAATATTTCCCAATGAGAAACTGGAGCTAAACATGTGTGTGGCCCAGGCAGAGGTCTTGCTTTGCCCATGCAAAAAAGCAAACTGCTTGTGTTGCCTCCAGGTGGGCAACTAATTGACTGGCTGCTTTTGTCACTCTATGAATTGCGTTCACTAAGCTGCTATTGTCACTCTTGTGAATTTATCTCAACCAAAGGAAGATCTTTTGCATCCCTACATTAGCCCCTCCCTAAACAGATTCTAGAACCTGCCACAAGGAATTACTTTTATTCCACTTGTGATATAATAGAATGGTGGGAACATAATTTGTGAAACTACAGTATAGTAGTAATAGTAGTAGTATAGTAGTATAGCTGGTCACTTGTATTCGAGGATACCCATCTACAAGGTTGGCTAGCCAATCCCTGTTGCAGATGCTTGCTCAGGCACATTTCTGTTTATTCAACACCCACGTGGTTTATACTGCAACTATGCTGAGCAAACTTTAGTTACATTTCCTGGGAAAGAGCATGTTATCTAGCGTAATCAACAATTTGAACAAGGCCAGCATATTCAATCCCTCGGCCACGATAACTTATGACTTTGTGCTAGCACAGCTATCGATGGGCCCAAGATTTCTGTCTACCCAATTTCACTCACAAGGCTTGGGTCAACCCGTGGTATGGTTTTCAGGCACTTTCCAAAGGTGCTGCTTGCTGGCTTCGACCCCTCCAGTCTGATGACATTAGGAAGTCTCCTTCCTGACAAATCGACCATCATGAGATTTGAACTCGGGTTTCATGGTCACAATGTGAACGTTCTAACCACTCGGCTATGAAACTACAATATAGAAAAGGAATATGCATGCAAAAAGTGTACATTAAGGAGTACTCAAATGTTTGGACAATGTCCAGTAGCCCCAAAAGTTCTTCCTATATTAGTGTCATGAAATAGTTCATATGAAAAAATGTCCTGCAAAAAGTGAAAACAAGTTAAGATAAGAAACACCTGGGCCATGACGCTCAGACCTGGTCACTGTTTGTTTTGTAAATCTGGTGCTACTGGAAATGATATAGTGAGTGGTGTGTCCCCATTTAGCTGTGTAGCATCCAGAAAGGCAGGCTTCAGTGTATCCAAGCAAATATCAGGTAATTCCATAAGTTCTGTCTGAATTTTGAATAAAGAAAACAAGTGACCAAATGTTACATTTAATTACAGATTCAATCAACAATGTATTTTCCCTGATTATCTATGACTTCCTTCCATCTATTAACAAGCTTACTAATTCCATTACTGTAAAATTCTTTTGGCTTTGATTCGAAGAACTCACAAATGTCAGTTTTAACCTCTTCCTGTGTTACAAAAGCTGTTTCTTCCAAATGATTCTGTAAGCTACGAAACAAATGGTAGTCTGAAGGAGCAAGATCGGGAGAATAAGGTGGATGAGGAATTTTCTCCCAACCAAGTTCTTCGATCTTTTGTGACGTGATTTTTGCTGTGTGGGGTCGCGCATTGTCCTGATGAAACATCACCTCTTTTCGATTCACCAGAGCAGGTTTTTTTCCTCAAATCTTGGTTCAAACGCTCTAATTTCTGACAGTATTTTTGAGCATTAATTGTTGGATTAGGTGGTAAGAATTCAAAGTGAATTATTCTTTGGCGACCCCACCAGATTGAAAGAAGAACCTTTTGCCCATGAAGTTCCCTTCTCGGCTATGGCTGGGGTCATTCACCTTTACCAAGCCACTGTCTACGACGCTTAACATTTCGATAAAAGATCCATTTTCGTCGCCAGTCAAGTCTATCCAAAAAGGTGAAACAAGTTGGCGAGAATGGAGAGAAGAGCAGATGTCAACTCGGGATTTGAGGTTGTTTTCAGACAATTCATGAGGCACCCATTTTCCAAGTTTAGGAACTTTTCCAAGTTGTTGAAGATGACGATGAACAGTTGTATGATTTGAACTGAGAACCACTGCCAATTCCTCAACTGATAAAGCAGGATTTTCTTCAAGGGCTGCTTCAAGAAGCTTTTCATCAAACTCAACTGGACGTCCGGTTCAATCTTCATCTTCAAGAGTGAAATCTCCACCTCTGAATTTTGCAAACCATCTTCTGCAAGTTCTTTCATTCACACATTCCTCTCCATAAACTGAGTGAATGTTTCTAGCCGCTTCAGCTGCTAAGTTTCCTTTCTTGAACTCATAAAGCATTATGTGCCTCAAATGATTCTTGGGTACTTCCATGTTAGCAGGGTTTTAATCAAACAAAATTTAATTTTATTGTTCTCTGAAATAAAATTTGATCAGTTTAAATGCATCTAAACATAAAAATAATGTTCAGCTCCATTAGACATAATAAAATACTCTTTAAATTTTGTTCATTTTAACAAAAAGTTAAAATTCGGACAGAACTTATTGGATAACCTGATATTTTGATTTGTGTTGTTAATGTGCATTAAAAAATTTATTATGTCTCTTATATTTTTTCGTTTTAGATTTAATTTTTTTGAGAACAAGCATAACCCTATCAATGATATTGGACATCATCTCTAAATTAGACGCTCATAAGGCAAGTGGTGGGGACAGGATAGCAGCCATAGTTTTGAACAAATTGGATTGTTATTAGGCTCAGTTCTCTCAAACTATTAACTATTGAAATACTGACTCTTAATTATTTATAAACCTATTGGTTCCCACTGGCTGTCAATATTCTGCTGCATGATATTATGCCTGTAGAATAGGCATTAACTGCCAAACACAATGCCTTACTTGCAACAATGAGACAATTTAAATGTATGGGACAATACTGATGTCATTTTGTGAATTGCTTCTATGGCAAACTTCTTTTCACACATGGTAGTTTAATTAAATTGCCTGCAATAGAGAAAAATATATCTAAAAAGAAAACATTATGTAGGAACAATAAAATACTTTGGGAGGGCCATGTGAACACACATGAGAATAAAAATGAATTCAATATCACAGAAACTATGTTTACAGATTATTAAACAAGGAAAACGAAAACATCATGCCTTAAAAGTAACTTTATCAGACAGGCTTATGTAATCAGGGTTTATTACCACATGTTACACACACACACACACACACACACACACACATTGAATATATAAAAAACAACAACAAGTTTAAGGAGAAGAAAAAATTTAAATTGTTAAAAAGTTTCATAAATATTTATAAACTTTAGAAAAAAAGATTGAAGTGTCATTTTAACAAGAACAACCTTAAACAAACAAAAAAAAAAAAAAAAAAAAAAACCCCTGTAAAAATGTCTGCCTGGACTTGCTAGGTTCATGCACAAGAGTTTTTTTGTTTTTTTTGGCTTATTTTCTAAACATGTGGGCAATTACATTCACAGGGTATTTCTTTCTTTTTTTCTCTGTGTAATTATTTAAGTTTGTTTGTTGGTCCTTCATCAATGAGAATAAAAAATAAAATAAAAAGTGAAACTTGAAATAATGAAAAGATTGGATTAGAAAAGAGTGAGATTTTGGTATATGATATTGCTACCTCTCTGTCTTTGTTTGATTTCCAGAGGTATTGAGCATTTTAAGTTTTTGTGTAGATAGGCATCTGTTTTTTTCTTTTTTGTCATTTTTTGTTTTGTCTTTTTTCGGGTTTTCTTCTTTGGTAAGTTTAGTATTGATATTGTTGCACTTTGATATTTCATTGATTACTTGTTTTATTTTTTAATCTCTCTCTCTCTCTCTCTCTCTATATATATATATATATATATATATATATATATATATATATATTAATTTAAAAGTAAAATTTCTTATCTTTATGAAGGAAGAAAGTTTAATGTTGGGGACAATGTGAACAGAAATCAACACTGCATGTTCACTGTCAATTTGATGACATAAGGGATTATCATTTATCTGTCTGTATTTATTTATAAAAATCTCTTTTGAAAATATATATATATATATATATATATATATATATATATATATATATATATGTACATTAATTTAAAATAGATATATTTATGAAGGAAGAAATTTTAATCTTCAATATAAAAGAAATCAACACTGCATGTTCACTGTCAAATGACAAAGGGATTATCATTTATCTGTCTGTATTTATCTATTCTCTCTCTCTCTCTCTCTCTCTCTCTCTATTTTATATATATATATATATATATATATATATATATATGTACATTAATTTAAAATTTGCTATATTTATGAAGGAAGAAATTTTAATCTTGGGGACAATGTGAACAGAAATCAACACTGCATGTTCACTGTCAATTTGATGACATAAGTGATTATCATTTATCTGTCTGTATTTTCTGGATCTCTCTCTCTCTCTCTCTCATAAAAATATATATATATATATATATATATATATATATATATATATAGGAAATAAATCTTATTTCCAACACAATTACATACCATATTAAACATGCCCAAACTTTATTTTCTACCCAATAACAGACAATATTTACAAACATGCCAAAAAGATTCCACAATACAACACACATTGTTTAAATCAAAGAGTCTGTTGGTTAGAAATTAACATCACCATGTGAAATATTTGACCAATCAGCAAAAACAAAAACCCTATTTTTCTTGAGCCTACTTTTGGGAAAAATTTCTTATAAAAACCCAGAGATTTCAACACTCACCAGCAGAGATGTGATTGATTCCAAGCTGTTCAAGCACAAGAGAAGATATGGATATATAGCTTTTTTCCTCCAACCCCTCCTTCAGCGCATGCTGAAAGAAACATGTAAAAAAAAGCGACTTCAAACAAATCATCTTCAATAACAACATCAAGGGCAATCTGTGAATCTTTTCTGACAAAGTTTTTTGTCAACCGTAGCTTTTTCTGTGGACCTATTACCCAAAACTTTAACTCTACTAATGACTATTTTTACTCCTTTTTGACTATTTTGAATTCATGTACATATGTTTGTAAATAAAAATGATTCTCTTTTAACAGGCAT